CACCCCCACCCCCACCCCCCGTAGATACACCTCTGAAAATTTTCTTTAAAAAAAAAGTTAAGGAAATCTGGGATTTTTTCAAATTGAACCGACACATCGGGGGCCCCGCACTGCAAGGGTTAACTGCTCATTTTTCTCTAGGGGCCGAAATAAAGGCGATATACTCACCCGATCCTCGGTCCTGCAGCGGTGACCACTCACCTCTCTCCCTCTCCTCTCTGGCTGTGTTATGTCCCTCGGCTTCTTCACGTCCAATGCAATGGCCGTGATGGCTTCTCTTCTCCTTAGACCGCCGGAGCCCGAGGGGTGGGGGTGGGGGGCTAAGACTGCAGGGATCGGCCTAGCAGCCAGGTGGGACCGAGAAGCAAGTGAGTATATCTGCTCTATTTGAGCCGCCTAGACCAAAATGAGCACTTAACCAAGGGTTAATTTTTCTTTTTAAAGCTGCAACATTGTAACAAATCCGAACACATAAAACCAAAAGGGAAATAAAACTTCCCGGACGAGTATTTCCGGCTTCAGTAGAAGACTCACGGCTATCACAACAGTATAAAGTACAAATACCATGCGAGGCGACCTCGGTGAAGTTGTGGGTGGGGCTGCATGGCGGTTTTACGTAAAAAAACACACAAGGAAAGCTCCGCACTGTGCTTCAGAGTGTGTCCCATATCTTATCGGGATCACAGCGAGTGTTCCAGTATCTGGATCCCTGTCAGTGTTTGGCTCAGCTTGCATTGAGCGTTCTTTGTGTGAACTTTTCCCTGGCAGGCTGATCACATGACCCGCTCCCTGTCTGCCTGTCATTGTGTTACAGGAAGATCCCGGAGCTCGGCGTCCATTGCTTCTACTGTATTAACAACCAATACTAAATAGAGCGGAGGCATCGCAGAGGCGCGACCGGTGACCCCCAGACGCAGCAGCCATGGGGGGGTATACAGGCCAGACCAACTTGACCGTCGGCCAAGGAGTCCGCATGATGTTCTACGTCTTGTACCCCAATGAGACCTCCTTTAAGACCGTGGACGAAGTGCCAGATTACGTGGACAAGGTGAGAGACCTGAAATGCGTCGGAGCGCTGGGGCGCGACGCGGGGAATCGTGTGCCACTCTCGTACGCAACTTGTTGAATTTTATATTTAGCAAATATGAAATGAAAACATGATACATGAGAGAGCCTTGATGCTACACATGGGCATCTTTTTAATGGGCACGTAACGCGGCATTCGTATTGAATGGCTGGCCAGCGCACAGCTGCGTTGTAGCATGCTGCAATGGATGCGCCACCGTGGGTTGCGTAAAAAAAATAAAGGGGTCCTGTGCGATTTTTCGATTGTTAGGGCGCGTTAGCCACCCATTGGTGGCAAAGCAAAAAGGTCAATGGGCCCTAAAGCTGATCTAAAGGCCCATTTGCACTCTATGCGTTTTTCCACATTGGATGAGGGCTGATCAAGGCAAAGACAATGTTTCTATGTGTCGTGTTCATATGACGAAGATGTATTTATGTGCATTGCATTAATGTGCGTCGAAATGCGGCATGTTTGCATTTTCGCACACATAAGCACATATACAGCACATGTAAACGCAAGGAAAAACTATAAAACGATAGCCCACAGTCCTAGATGTGGGTAGCACACCTCCAGTGGCATCACAAGGGGCGTGCGGGGGTTGCGGCCTGCACCCGGGTGACACCATTGGAGGGGTGACACCATTGGAGGGGTGACACCAAAATGACTGACAGTGTGTAACCGCTCCGCTTTGCGACACCCCTGCACACCTCCAAAATTCTATGGGTGACATCTGAACGCAACACAACTAAAAAAAAAAAGAACTTTTAACTTAACAGGAAATAAGGAAATACACCTTTAAGGCTTTAACTCTTTTGCTGCCAGATCATTTTTTTGCACACATAATCCACATTTTAGGTCTGAAAATGACTTAAACCCCCCGAGAGTTATATATTTCCTGAAAGCTGAGACCCTGCAGAATAAAATGGCGGCAATTGCAAATCTTTACGTTGCATGATATTGCCGCAACTCTTTATCAAGCCTAAAATTTCAGTAATAAATACACTTAAAAGACAACTATGGGGTAACCTTTTTATCCCATAGTTCTCTTAAGGGTCACAGGAGGACATATACTAGCGTCCTCCTGTCACCCAAAGCTCAGTATATCGCGGGCTATTGCTGAGAGCGCCGCAGCCGGGACGGATCCCAACATTATTGTCTGGATCGACCCAGCTGCGTGAGTCACAGCTGGCTCTGCCTATCTAGAGTCAGAGCCAGCTGTACCCGCCCCCTCCCTCATCCGTTCCTCCACTCAACGCTGGGGGATCGGAGAGGGGAGGAAGGGAACTCCTGCGGGGAGTGGTGACTGAACTGCAGCAGAGGAAAATCAGGTGTCCTGCCCTGCCAGACAGGGCCGTGCTGTGTGCCAGAGCTGTGTAACTCTCAGGATTGGATTGACAGAAATACAAATCCTTTGGGAGGAAGAGCAGCTCCTTTGTAGGTATTTAGCTGTTTACCTGGAGTTTAGCTTTAAAGAAGAACAAATAAAAAACTTACCCTTGCAGTGGGGCTCAGTGGCGTCACTGGGGGGGTGCAGGGGTTGTGGCTCGCACACGGGTGACACCATTGGAGGGGTGACACCAAAATGACTAAGAGTAATTTTGGAACTTCTTGCACAGCCTCACAGAGAAACACAAGCACACAGTCTGATATGCTGGCTGCACATGGTTTGTAAAACAGGAAGGAAGCCAAAGCTTTATTCTCTACCTTATTCAATACAACAGAGTATATACCATAGATACTGTATAACAGAACTTATAGACACGGCAGAGAGAGCAGGGGACTGGGGGGCATAACTTATCCCGCCGGGTAAACGTCCCCTCCTCTCTCTGCCGTCGCCCATCACCAAGATGGCCGCCAGCAGGTAACATTTATCATACGTGTGCACGATGATGTCACAGCGGGGTGTCACGCGGTATCACCCCACCTCGGGACGCCCCTTGTGGGCCTAGAAAGAAATGTCATGCAGCCATCACTGGAGTGCATGTAGACAGGACGTGGCTGTCCTGAGAAATGTCATGCAGCCATCAGTGCAGTGCATGTAGACAGGAAGCAGCTGTCCTGAGAAATGCCACGCGGCCATCACTGGAGTGCATGTAGACTAGGGTTGCCACCTGTCCAGGATTCACCCGGACAGTTCAGGTTTTGAATGCTGTGTCCAGGTTTCATGGCAGCAGGATCCGGACACAAGATGTCAGACAGACGGGGGCAACCAAAATTAGGATAGGGGCTACTGGCCCCCCACTGAAAATAGTCTCAACTCTGATATTTACAAATGAATAAGCCGAGACTCATTCTCCCCCCAAAAAATGTCAGCACGTCGCTAGAGTGTTCGGGTTTCGCATGAAGAAAAGGTGCAACCCTAATGTAGACAGGAAGTGGCTGCCCTGAGAAATGCCATCCGGCCATCACTGGAATGCATGTAGACAGGAAGTGGCTGCCCTGAGAAATGCCATGCAGCCATCACTGGAGTGCATGTAGACAGGAAGCGGCTGCCCTGAGAAATGCCATGCAGCCATCACTGGAGTGCATGTAGACAGGAAGCGGCTGCCCTGAGAAATGCCATGCAGCCATCACTGGAGTGCATGTAGACAGGACGCGGCTGCCCTGAGAAATGTAATGCGTCCATCAGTGCAGTGCATGTAGACAGGAAGTGGCTGCCCTGAGAAATGGCATGCGGCCATCACTGGAGTGCATGTAGACAGGAAGCGGCTGCCCTGAGAAATGCCATGCGGCCATCACTGGAGTGCATGTAGACAGGACGCGGCTGCCCTGAGAAATGTAATGCGGCCATCAGTGCAGTGCATGTAGACAGGAAGCGGCTGCCCTGAGAAATGCCATCCAGCCATCACCGGAGTGCATGAAGACAGGACGTGGCTGCAAAGAGGCTGCGGGTGATCAGCATCACTGAGTTGCAATAGAGAATGAAAACCAGTATTTTCTAAAGAAGAATAACCTGGCCATTGTCTATCATACACAGTGCTTTATCAGCCTAAATGCCGCCCGGTTGGGGTTCACACTTTCTTTAGCCCATTCAGGGAACACATTTATTATGTTTTGCTTCTTTTAAATCCACTTTTTGTTTTTCCATTCGCAGGCCACGGCATACTTCATCGTGATGCTTATACTGGAGATGATCCTCAGCTCAGTGTGGAAGGGTCGACCCCTCCGAATTAATGACGGACTGACGTCCCTTTCCGCGGGAGTTATGTCTCGCCTGCCAGAGTAAGTCAAAATTGCTTTGTGGTCGGAAAAAAAAATCCTATTTTAGTCGCTGCGCTGGAAGGCGCGGGGTGCCTGCGAGCCAAGGACGCTCCTTCCAAGCCGGCGGCCGGCTCACTGTAACAGCTTAATGATACAATTAGGCCGCGCGCGATTCTACAATTATGTGAATGACATAATCTGTAATGTTCTGGATCTCGGGGACGGCAATAGAAATTTAAATAACACTGACGTTGGGTTCCCCGTCATTCCACCGCCGCTTCAGAGACCCACCAGGCTGAGGCGGCTACTTAAAGGAGAACTATGAGGTGATTGATTTTCATTCATCCTCATAGTTCAAGCCGACCTGTGACAATGAAACTGTCACACGTCGGCTCAATAGATTGGGAAGTGAGCGAACACATAGCGGCGCTCGCTTACTTCTCGATTATCTCACTGCAGAGAGCTGTGACTGTCAGTCACTGCTCCCCGCAGGGATTCCCCCCCTCCCCGCTCCAATCCTCCAGCACTGACTGGAGGAACGGACAGGGGAAGGGCCGGGTACAGCTGGCTCTGCCTCCAGATAGGCAGAGCCAGCTGTCACTCACGCAGCTGGATGGGTCTCGACATTAATGTCGGGATCCGTCCTGGCTGCGGCGGTCTCAGTATACAGCGAGCTGTAGCCCGCGATATACTGAGCTTTGGGTCATGGGAGGAGGTTAGTATGTGTCCACCCCCGACCCTGAAGAGAACTATGGGGAATAACACTTACCCCATAGTTCTCTTTTAAGATTCCAAAAGGCTTTGGTGTGCGCATCGGCCGGTCATGTGATATTGGCGCCAAAGGCTGGGCACGTCTGGTCTCTGCGGCAGACTTATGCATTTCATGTGCGTTTTGGAAACTTAGGTTCTTTTATGTAAGCTTTTGTCTTTAAAGAAGAACTAACATTGAAAATAAAATAAAAAGGGAAGACGAAGAGGGTAGAGAGCAGAGAGCTGCCATTGCTGGTGGAGGGTGCGCTCAGAGGTAAGTTTGCCATAGCATGCCATGCCATGTCAAGCTGCTCCTCATCGGCAGGTGAGTATGATATATTTGGAGCGGGGACAGGGGTAACTGAAAGGATAATTCCTCCCCATGGAGAGGCCATCTACTGTATTTTTGAGATCCATCATCATGGGCAGCTTGTCCATAGAATGACATAAGAAGAAGTGAGGAACCGGTCAGTTTTCAGCGATAGCTAAGCAGCTCCTCATGGGCAGGTGAGTATGATATATTTGGGGGCGGGGACAGGGGTAACTCAAAGGATAATTAATCACTAAGAAGAGGCCATCTATTGTAGAAATCCATCATAGGCAGCTTCTCCGTAGAATGACACAAGCAGAAGTGAGGAACCAGTCAAAGAGTTTGCAGAGGTAGATTTGCGGCTCCTCATGGACAGGTAAGTATGATATATTTGGGGGTGGGGACAGGGGCTAACCTAAAGGATAATTCCTCCCTATAAAGAAGCCATCTATTACTGAAATCCATCATATTCAGCTTCTCCTTAGAATGACATAAGAAGAATTTAAGAAACCAGTAAAAGAGTTAGCAGCAGTAGCTATGCGACTCCTTATGGGCAGGTGATGATATAATATAATTGGGGGCGGGGACAAGAGTAGTTAAAGAAATCCATCATAGGCATTTCTATATGTATTATCATAGGCAAAGGGGTATCTATCATAGGCAGCTTCTCCCTAGAATGACTAAAGCAGGAGTGAGGAACCAGCCAAAGAGTTTGCAGAGGTAGATTAGCGGTTACTTGTGGACAGGCAAGTATGATATATTCTGGGGCGGGGATGGAGGGTAACCTAAAGGATATAATGCATCCCTATAAAGAAGCCATTTATTGTTGAGATCTATCATAGGCAGCTTCTCCATTGTTCGGGGGCGGAGGGGGGGGGGTAACCTAAATGATAATTCATCCCTATAATGAAGCCATCTATGACTGAAATCCATCATGGGCAGCTTCTCCATAGTTCGGGGGCGGGAACGGTGGGTAACCTAAAGGATAATTCCTCCCTATAAAGAAGCCATCTATTACTGAAATCCATCATATTCAGCTTCTCCATAGAATGACATAAGAAGAATTTAAGGAACCAGTCAAAGAGTTTGCAGCAGTAGCCATGCGGCTCCTCATAGGCAGGTGAGTCTGATATATTTAGGGGCGGGGACAAGGGTAGCAAAGGTTTTTTTATACAAAAGTAGAGTTGTCCTTTAATTTACTCCCCCCTCTAAATCCTCCAGCAGCCAGCAGCCAAAATTCTGGAACAAATAGACCCCAATGAACGCTCCGCCTCAAAGTAATAGCTGGCTGGAAACATGATTTCTCCTGTGAAAAAAAATGACCTCACTTTTGGGCCTCCGAGGCTCTCAGACAAAAACATTTTCCCCCTGCGGCAAAACATCATCAAACGGAGCCACACAAAAGCTTTTTTTTTTTTTTTGCGAGATCCGCGGTGATATTTCACTCAAGCGCTCGGTTTGGCAGTGGTTTTCAGGCCCTCTATTAGCTACTCGCTCATACCGCCGGACTGCTGAAACCATTAAAACACAATATCACTTCATTATTCCGAATGGAACGGTGCGCGTCCCGCTCGGCGTACCCCACTGAACGCACAGAAACAATGACCGTATTTTTTCCCCCAGTTGATTAACTGCGAGAATATTATTGCAGCAGATAGACACCCCACAGGTACTATATTTTGTCATATTGCATGACTCCTAGGAAGCCTGGGTGTATTGAAGGCTGCGCCTAATGGCCCGGACAAATCTGCGAGCTTGCCTCTTTTAAGGACGCCAATTAGCCCGAACGCCAGGCCGTATATTCAGCTCCCTTTCCATTCTCGTTAAAGGGAAACACGCGGCGGAATGCAGGAGTGGAAAACAGATACAAAAAAAAAATAGAGAGAGAATGTGCGGAAATGTATTTTTTTTGTTCCATTTAAAGGTGTGAGAAAAATTCTGATGTGTATCCACTGCTCGGGTTTCATCCACAGCAGGGGTGGACAGAGGAACTATTTATTGGCTAAAACCTCCGTCTGTCAGGTGGGATGACGGTGGAAATCATTAGCAGCTGAGACTCTGACACCATCTGCCTTCCACATATAATGCCAGTGATTCCCTAGCAATTTCACAATTAACACTCAGGCCCCATTCACACTAAGCGACATACCTTACAAGCGGATCCGCGCGTCCGGGATAGCGCGACTGTTCGGGGCGACGTTCCAGCGACAATAGCGCAACCTTCACCATCGGGCTGCATTAAAGAAAAGGAAATTTGAGCGACAGCCGCGGGAAAAAGCGTCTTGCTGTCACGACTTGCGACCGCGACGAGCGACATGGAGCTGTACATTAAGACAGCTCCATTGAAAATCATTGGCTGGCGACTTCTCGCGATATCGCGCGGCAAAAATGCGCGATATCGCGGAGGAAATCGTTGGATTTTAAGCTCAGTGTGAATGGGGCCTAAGGACTAATTCACACTGCTGTGCACATACGCGCGTATTGTACCATATGCAGCATATGCAAATAAATGGCTCCACACACATAACTGCGTATGGAGCCGTATATTCACGCATTGTAAAAATGCGCAAAAACAGAATGGAACCGAGATGCGTCCGGGCAGCGTATTTCTGCATATGTTACGCGCATGCACGCGCGTTTGCTCGCATATAAGCATGTACGCGCTACAGTTCAATATACAATTTTGCTCTTGCGTTGTGTGTGAACGAGGACTAAAGCTTCTTGTTCAAATTCTAGCTGAGCAGAGGATGGATAACAGTCACTTTGCTCTAAGCAACAGGGTCTCTTTAACCACTTGCCGTCCGCCCGTTGTAAAAAAACGGACGGACGGTACTGCTGCATTGGCGCCAGACGGCATTTTTTTTCTGCTCGCGCGCGCCCCCTGGCGGGCACGCACGGGCAGAAAAGACCCGACCAATGCAAACACCGGGTTACCGGGTGTTAAACATATAGACGTACTATGAGGTGAGTGAAAAGTGCTCACCTCATAGTTCTCCTTTAATAATACTTAATAAATGGAATATGAGTTCATTTTTAAGAATTAAAGGAAATTGGACACAAATAAATTACCTCACAGTTCTCCTGTGAGGTAAAAACAAAAAACGCTATTATGCAACCTCTGGTCAGCTATCTATCAGGACAAAGTGACAATGTCTGCTGATAGCAGTCCCCTTTCCCCAGCAAAGTATACTCACCCATCCGCGCTCCCGCTGTAGGAGTTTACTTTGGCTAAAGCTGATCTCCGGGCAGATATAAAAGGTGCGAACGAATGCAGATCTAAAATCACTGATACATTATTTTTGAATGCAAGCGAGTCCCTGTACAGTAGGAATGGCGTTTGAGAGGAAGAAGCAGTGCAAGGAGTCATTAGCTTCATATGCGATAAAGAGCGTGCTGATAGAAGAATGGAGCAGAGTGATAGAGAAATGAGTGCATCACTGCGCTGCTTCTCCTTTCACTGTCTATGACGACCTGGGCACAGAGGAAGCGGGTTGAATGATGCCGGACATCTAGTGGCAGAAAAAAACAACTGTGGGGGGAAAATCTTTGGATTGAACATGAATATTAAAGAAAAATTATTTTTTTGTTTAATCTTCAGTGGGCTCTTTTTTTTTTAACTGGAGTCAGTTTCAGGTGGATGGTGATTGGTGATTGGTTGCTCAGGCCCAAATACTGTCAGCCACTCATCCCTGTGCCCTTCTTTGTGTCACCCCTCTCACAGAGCCTGCCTTCTGAACTACAGCTCAACATCTAAACAATGTAACATTATAATTGCTTGCTGGAAGCAATGCATGATGGGATATGTAATGTTGAGATATCGAGATTGCATCACATCAAACAGCAGAGAGAGAGACGCAAAGCACACTGGGAATCCAGGAAGTTGGTGAAAGTGATGGGCAGGCAGAAAGCAGCGCTCACTACATAAAAGGGATTTTTTCCAGTAAGCTTTGATTGTATCAGA